AGTAATGGATGGAATTAAAAAGGGATTCGACCTACAAGTAAGGAGGGATTTCCTGTCAGTGAGAATGATTAATCAGTGGAGCTGGTTTAATAGGATAACATTGTAATGCAGCTGAAAAGGGTCCTTGGAGGTTTTCTAGTCCAACCAACCCCCCCTCTACTATTCTAGACAAATGGTTATCCAATCTCTTCTTAAAAACTTCCAGTGATGGAGCAGCCACAACTTCTGGAGGCAAGTTGTTCCACTGATTAATTATTCTTTTGCCTCCAGAGGTTATGGAAGTTTTTAAAGAAGAGGCTGGACAGCCCACTTGTCTGGAATGGTCGAAGGGGGTTGGATAGAAGACCTCCAAGGTCCCTTCCAACTTTTACACTATTAGTGTGCGAAGTTGTCTTCACACTCTTCCTTTTGACCAGGTTTAGATAAAGTAGGACTCTGCATAGCGCTCAGGAATTCCTTCCCCTACCTCACTTCTTTAAAAAAATGTCTCTTTTTAAAAGAAGAAACATACCTTATAAAGAAACAGAAACCCATCTTTGGCAAGGATCATATTTATTAAAAAAAAAAAAAATGGAGGAGGCCCACTGCAATGATTTAGTTTTAGAGCTGCCCACTAGGCCAGGCTCGGAAGTTTTTATGATTAGACAGGCCTATCATAGCAACCACCTCTCAGTGAGATGTTTTTGACGGCCTCCGTGTCACCCTAGAAAAAAGACAGGGCTGCTTTAATGAGAACTAGACAGCAACTGTATTCAGCAGGCCTGCAACCTCTGAAGTGCCACTTTTGGATCAGACCACAAGCACAGTGCAACCTGAACGGAAACTTTCCCCCAGGGTTCAAATTCCACATGAGGACAATGGTTCCAAAGATTGTCCACCCCACATTTCTCAAAAGGAGACCAGAGGTGGTATTCAGCAGGTACTGACCAGTTCTGGAGAACCAGTAGCAGACATTTTGAGTAGTCTGGAGCAGTGATCTCCAACCTTTTTTACGCCGCGGCCCGGTATCCCCAACCTTTTTAATGGCGCGGCCCGGTACCGACATCAGCTGGGCGCCGCCATCTTGTTTTGATGAAAAAGTGCTTCCGGTGAGCTTTTCCGGGTAGAAAGCTCACCGGAAGCACTTTTTCATCAAAACAAGATGGCGGTGCCCAGCAAGCCAGCGGCCCGGTAGGACTTGTTCCACGGACCGGGACCGGTCCGTGGACCGGTGGTTGGGGACCCCTGGTCTGGAGAACCGGCAAATACCACCTTTGACTGGCCCTGCCCCCATCTATTCTCTGCTTCCCATCGAGTCCCAGCTGATTGGCTGGGTCTTCTTTGGTTGCCCTGCACAGGAGAACGGAGCTGGAAAGCAGGTTAGTGGGGTGGGGAGGGAATGGGGATTTTGCAGTAGTCTTCCCCTGCCACGCCCGCAGAACCGGTAGTAAAAAATTGACCACCTACTTCAGTCTCCTTCATTTGCCTGATCTAATATTTTCCCCGGTGCACGCGATGTCCTTGGCTCTCGGCTACAATGGATGGTTGTTGTTAAATTTTAGACTGGCAGCACTTCGGGAATCCCAGCAAGTGGCTTTCAGTAGCGAGATCCTGGACACTCTGCCAAAATTGTACACCAACCGAGAAGAACAGGTTACTCTTCACCTGGAATGTCGGGGTGGATCTGGTAAAAGTTGCCACGGAGCAGCTCATGTAACAATCCAGGTTAGAATGGAAGTCCCCGCCTCTTCCTCTTTGAGGAAAGGAAGTTGGAATTGATTGTTTCCTAGTATGATTTGATTGCTTATTGTACCCTATGACTGTCATTAAGTGTTGTACCTGATGATTCTCGACTCTTGACGAATGTGTTTTCTTTTATGTACACTGAGAGCATTTGCACTGACAAATTCCTTGTGTGCCCAACCACACTTGGCCAATAAAGAATTCTATTCTATTCTTATTCATTCTTATTCTTACTCTTATTCTTACTCTTATTCTTACTCTTACTCTTATTCTTATTCTTTCCTGTTCTGTTCTATTCCTATTCCTATTCCTATTCCTATTCCTATTCCTATTCCTATTCCTATTCCTATTCCTATTTCTATTCTATGTACACTGAGAGCATTTGCACCGACAAATTCCTTGTGTGCCCAACCACACTTGGCCAATAAAGAATTCTATTCTATTCTTATTCATTCTTATTCTTACTCTTATTCTTACTCTTATTCTTACTCTTACTCTTATTCTTATTCTTTCCTGTTCTGTTCTATTCCTATTCCTATTCCTATTCCTATTCCTATTCCTATTCCTATTCCTATTCCTATTCCTATTTCTATTCTATGTACACTGAGAGCATTTGCACCAAGACAAATTCCTTGTGTGCCCCACCACACTTGGCCAATAAAGAATTCTATTCTATTCTTATTCATTCTTATTCTTACTCTTACTCTTACTCTTACTCTTACTCTTACTCTTACTCTTACTCTTATTCTTTCCTGTTCTTTCCTGTTCTTTCCTATTCTATTCTATTCTATTCTATTCTATTCTATTCTATTCTATTCTATTCTATTCTATTCTATTCTATTCTATTCTATTCTATTCTATTCTATTCCTATTCCTATTCCTATTCCTATTCCTATTCCTATTCCTATTCCTATTCTATGTACCCTGAGAGCATTTGCACCAAGACAAATTCCTTGTGTGCCCAACCACACTTGGCCAATAAAAAGACTTCTGTTCTATTGAGAGTCTCAACTGCCGTTCCTTTAATGTCCTTTAATGTCAGCCTATTCTGTAGATCACAGGGTGGGGATTTTTTTTGCATGGGAAGGGAGTGTGCTATAATTTCTTCAACCATTGGGCTAGAGGGCCAGTGATGGAAAGGACTCTGCTTCCTGATTTATACAGGTAGTTTTCTACTTAGGACCATCACTGAGCTTAAAATTTCTGTTGCTAAATGTTTGCTAAATGAGATTTGCCCCATTTTACGACCACAGTTGTTACGTAAACCACTGCATTGTTAAGTGAGTCACCTGGTTGTTAAGTGAATCGGGCTTCCCCATTGACGTCAGAAGGTTGCAAAAGGGGATCACATGTCCCTGGGACATTGCCACCATCATAAATATGAGTCAGTTGCCAAGTCTGGATTTTGATCGCATGATGACGGGGATGCTGCGAAGTCAGAACTGTGACAAACAGCCTTAAGTCACATTTTTCAGTGCCATCGTAACTTTGAATGCTCACTAAACGAACTGTTGTAAGTTGGACTCCCTGTAATTCCTCCCTTTCCCAGGGAGATTCCGTTCTAGTTCCATTTTTGCTTCTGCGATCAGAAATGAAAGTGGTGGGGCAGCTTGTCAACTCATAAAACATTTTGTATGCATGTTTTATAGTTGTCAACAGAAAGAAAGCGGGGAGGAACTTTCAAAGAGCAGGCAGCAGTGTGGAATTGAAAGTACATTTCATTCATATTTTCTTCAAAGACTGATTAGATGACTGAAGCTTCTGCTGCTCAAAAATCTAATTGGAGAGCATGATTGATGACTCTTGGCTATGGACGTGTTTTGTTGGATGATACACCCAGAGGGGTGGGGGGGAAACAGGATCAAGGGTGACAGTGAATTACATATCTCGGAGTTGACTACACCCAGGCTAATGCCAGAATGTGAACTTCTAAAAAATCCTTTTTAGTTTTGGGAGTGTGGCTCGAGGCTCATGATTTAATTGGAGTAATCCCGACAACAGCTGTTGCAAATCTAACATTAATTTATTCGATTATTCTAAGATTGAATTAGTTTGCTAGTTGAATGCAATAATGTATTGTCTCGATTTTAGTTTGAGGGAAAACACAAAAATGAAGCCGTCAACCAGCAACTGCACATTTTGGAGAAAGAAATGAAGCACCTGCAGGCAGAAGCTGCTCAGATGCCTCCTCTGAATGTTGTAGGAGCCGCCGTCTACGTGGAGAACTTCATAACGTGAGTTGTGTGGTTTCCTCTCCGTGGCGAAACCTTGTCTTGCCTGTGTTTCTGATTCTGAGCGATCCAAATCAGGTTCCAAAGGTGCTTTTTTTCAAGAGGAAACTGGACTTCCTGTTTTTTTCCTGTGAAGACGTTTCACTTCTCATCCAAGAAGCTTCTTTATCGCTTGACTGGATGGTGGGCAATGGAAGGATTTGTATTCACTGTAAACAAAGCTGGTCATTTGCATTCTTTTAGAGCAGGGGTCCCCAACCACCGGGCCCCGGACCGGTCCCGGTCCGTGGATCATTTTGTACTGGGCTGCAAAGAATGAAAGTAGGGCCTACTTTGCTTGGGCGCCGCCATCTTGTTTCGACGGCGCTTGAGAAAGTGCTTCTGGGTGAGCTTGTCGGTCGTCGGTTCGAAAGCAGCGTTTGGGTGCTGAAGGAATCCTCGCGCCTTAGTTTCGTCGAAGGGGGAGGCGGCTTCAAACGAAGAGCCGTCCCGATGGCGGTGGAGTCTTGCGTTACTCAGGAGGAGAGCCCGAAAAGCCCATCGACCGCGAGAAGGTACAAAGGAGGAGTTGAAGGTGGCAGGGAGAAGCGGGGGACGGCTGGGTGGCCGGTCGCTCGGCTCGCCTGGCCTTGGTCGTGAGTGCTGATGCCGATACCGGTCCGTGGATCATTTTGTACCGGGCCGCAAAGAATGAATAATCGTGAAACTGGTCCCTGGTACAAAAAAGGTTGGGGACCACTGTTTTAGAGAGTTGTTGAGGCCACCTGGAGGTTATGGTTAGGGCTAGGAACAACAGAGAGAGAGGGATACGACACCACCCACCTCCAGTCTACAACACGGTCCTTTCAGCAGTTCCAAGAAGTTTCCACAACCATTTGCACTATTCAGGTGATGCCGAGGACATAGATAAACTCCCAAGTGGCCTCAACCACCCTCAAAAAGGATGCAAATGACTAGCTGTCTGCAAGGAGTATAAATTCTTCCATTTCCCCACCATCCAGTTCCGATCTGAAGAAGCTTCCTGGATGAGAAGCGAAACATCTTCAAAGAAAAACCGAACAGTCCAGTTGCCTCTTGAAAAAACACCTTGACCTGGATGACCTGGAGAATCTCCATAGACCATAGGAAACTAGGGTTTGCAAAAGTTCGGTCACAATTTCCTCAGAAACATCAGATATTTAGAATGGTGTCTTGTGCCTCTCAAATCTAGAAGGATAACAAGAGTAATGGGGTTGGAAGGGACCTTGGAGGCTTTCTAGTCCACCCCCCCTGCTCAAAGCAAGAAATCCTATACCATTCTGGACAAACGGCTGGCCTCCATTCTTTGGCTCTCAGCCTTCCTTATGGTCCAACTTTCACAGCCGTGCATTGCCACTGGGGGGAAAGCTTGTGGTCCCGAATGAGCCCCAAATTGGCCTTTTAAATCCATCTTCAGGGGTTGCTTGTAACCACATTTTTTTAAAAAACAAAAATTATTCATCCCAGGGACAAATACATATATCCATGAGAAAGGGAAGGCTTCTCCTGCAGGATTGACACGGAAATAGACAAATTGGCCCAAAGGGGGAAGGCCAGGCCATCCTTCTTGCACTAAATCTTATCCCTTGACTGCATACTTTTATTTACGGCGCTAGTCCAAAGCCTGAATTATACATTACTGATCTCCTGTCCTTTGCTTACGTGTTTTTTTAAACCGCCATTTTTATCCCCGCTACCAGAGGTTTAATCAATATCTATAAGCTCCAGCCTACACCAAGGATTCAACGGATTGGCATCAGTCTGTTCTTCGCAGTGGTGGAATACGTGTGCGACGAAACGCAGCGTCATCCCCCATCGAGGCAATTCTTCACTTCCTGCATCGAGGTCCTTGGCCAAGTGAGTGGTTTGGGGGTAGGATTTGCTCACCAATAAAGCCGAGTTATCTGTTGACGCCCATTTAGAATTCTGCAATGAATTATTTTAATGGGCCACCGAGAGCTTACTAAGAGTGGGTGGGAAATAAGATATGGATGATACTAAATAAATAAGGTATGTAGATAATTTAGAAAGTCGCTTTATTGGTGAGATTGGAGGGAGGGAGGGAGGGAGGAAGATATGAGAGGGAGGGAAGCAAGAAAAATGGGTGGGAGGGAGGAAGGAAGGAAGGAAGATATGGGAGGGAGGGAGGCAGAGAGGAAAGAAGGAAGGAAGGAAGATATGGGAGGGAGGGAGGCAGAGAGGAAAGGAGGGAGGGAGGGAGGAAGGAGGAGGAGGGAGGGGGAGGGAGGGAGACAGAGAGGAAAAACGGGAGGGAGGAAGGAAGGAAGGAAGGAAGGAACACATGGGAGGGAGGGAGGCAGAGAGGAAAGAAGGGAGGGAGGGAGGGAGGAAGGAAGGAAGAAAGATATGGGGGGGGGGAGGGAGGAAAAAAGGAAAGGAAGGAAGGAAGGAATAATAGCAATAGCAGTTAGAGTTATATGTTGCTCCATAGTGCTTTACAGCTCTCTCTAAGCGGTTTACTCTGCCCCCAACAATCTTGAGTCCTCATTTTACTGACCTCGGAAGGATGGAAGGCTGAGTCAACTTTGAGTCCCATCAGGATCATACTCCTGACCGTGGGCAGATGGAGCCTACAATACTGCACTTTAACTACAGGTAGTCCGCGACTTACAACAGTTCATTTAGTGACCGTTGGAAGTTACAACGGCACTGAAAAAATTGACCCATGACCATTCTCCACTCTTACGACCGTTTGCAGCATCCTCATGGACACATGATCAAAATTCAGAGGCTTGGCAGCTGACTTAGCTGGCAGGAATAGCTAACACCCAAGAAGATAGGCTCAAGATCCAGATGGTTCTTGACAGACTAGAACACTGGGCCGTATCTAACAAAATGAAATTCAGTGTAGAGAAAAGTCAAGTCCTACATTTAGGCAAAAAAAAACCAAAAGTACACATATAAACTGGGTGAAACCAGGCTCAATAGCAGTAACTGTGAGAGGGATCTTGGAGTCTTAGTGGAAAACCAGCTAAATATGAGCCAGCAGTGTGTAGCGGCAGCTAAAAAAGCCAATGCAATCCTAAGTTGCATTAACATAGGGATACAGTCAAGCTCAAGGGAGGTACTAATACCACTCTATAAAGCCTTAGTAAGACCACACCTAGAGTTCTGCATCCAGTTGTGGTCACCACGCTATAAAAAAGATGTTGAGACTCTAGAAAAAGTGCAGAGAAGAGCAACCAGGATGATTAGGGGACTGGAGGCTAAAACATGAAGAACGGTTACAGGAACTGGGCCTGGCTAGTCTGGTGAAGAGAAGGACCAGGGGAGACAGGATAGCAGTGCTCCAATATTTGAGGGGCTGCCACAAAGAGGAGGGGGGTCAAGCTATTTTCTAAAGTGCCTGTAGGCCAGACAAGGAATAATGGATGGAAACTGAACAAGGAGAGATTCAACCTGGAAATAAGGAGAAATTTTCTGACAGTGAGAACAATCAACCAATGGAACAGAAGTTGCCTTCGGAAGTTGTGGGAGCTTCATCACTGGAGGCTTTCAAGAAGAGATTGGACTTCCATTTGTCAGAAATGGTGTAGGGTCTCCCACTTGGGCAGGGGGTTGGACTAGATGACCTACAAAGTCCCTTCCAACTCTGACTATCTGTTTATCTGTCTGACTCATATTTACGATGGTTGCAGTGTCCTGCAGGGGTGTCCCATGATCCCCTTTTACGACCTTTGGGCAAGCAAAGTCTGTGGGAAGGCTGGATTCACTTTAACAACCATGCGGCTCACTTAGCAACTGCAGTGATTCACTTAGTGGGGGCAAGGAAGGTTGTATCATGGAGCAAATTTCACTGAACAGCTGTCTCGCTTAGCCACAGAAATTTTGGGGTTCCACTGTGGTCATAAATGGAGTGGTGCGGGTGGCCTAGCGGTGGAGCTCTCACCTCACAATCAGGAGGCTGTGAGTTCGATCTTAGGTAGAGGCAGATATTTCTCTCTCTGGGCACACTGAGAATATATCTGTCGAGAGAAGAAAAACGGGAGGGACTCCGCATTGGCAACAGGAAGGGCATCCGGCCAGTAAACCCTAAGCTCCATTCAGCTGCTCAGACTCCACCCCGCAAGGGATTACGGGGTCATTAAACAACAAACATTGTGGTCATAAATCGAGGACTACCTGTACAGCCTTCAGACCCTTTACCATCCTGTGTTGCTGTGTTTGGTACACTTTTGAGGGTCTTGGCATCCTGCGGAGACCCTGCCATATGGAATGGAATGGAATGGAATGGAATAGAATAGAATATATGGAATGGAATGGAATGGAATGGAATGGAATAGAATAGAATAGAATAGAATAGAATAGAATA